GTTTAATTTTAAAAATTCTTCAAAGTTTGCAAAAATTGGTATCGTTTTTTAGCGTTTGTCAAAATTAATAATTTCATCAACGTTTGCTCAAAAACGCCTGAACCGATTGCAGAAATTTAAAAGCCATTTGATGTATCTCAATGAGGACTATCGTTTGTCAGTTTTGTGAGACGATCTGCCGAGCCGTTTCTTCGTAATTTGGAAAAGAGTGTTAAACTTTTCATCCATATTTAAGCTCATACTACCGAATCGATTTTAAAAAATCAAAAACTGTTCGAAAGATATTAGTTGAGAATGATACTGATTAGTTTTAGGTGAAAATTTACCGAGCCGATTTTAATGGAACTTTTTTTGGCGATATATATCATGGTCTTATAGAACTTTGAAATATTACAGCCTTATGGCAAGTAGTTTAATTTTAAAAATTCATCAAAGTTTGAGAAAATTAGTAGTTTTTTGACGTCTGTTAAAATTAAAGTTTGATGATTTATTTGGTATAACGATAGAGTAGCAACTTGGTCTCAATGAACATACTAAACCATTAAAGTCCTACGGAAACTGGTTCAATTATAAAAATTTTGTTTTTTGAAAATTTGCTTTTAGAAAATACTCCGAGTTAACGTGTTCGTTCGTTTTCAATTATGTGTAATAAATCCACTCGGAATACTTTTAATTACGCCAAAATTAATTTATATTTTATTGATTAAGTCGTTTATTTTCACATATCGGAAAGTTACACATATTTTTTATGAAACCTATATTTCATGTAAAGCGGGTTAGATGTACAGTATATGTAGTAAGATACCTATAAATAGTAAACTATACTACCTAAAAGTACCCAATTGGCATATTACTGTGGAAACGTGTGGTAAGTACTTATAATTGTAAAAGAATCTTTGTGTCTTATTTTAGTAACATAAGAGTGACCATAATTCTGTTTCTTATTACAACGACAGTGAAAAATGTACGACAATCAAAACGACGGGGCGCCCGACGGCCGCCCGCCCGCACGTTGAGAGTAGAGACACATTCAAGTCCACCAAAACGAAAAAAACATTTTTATAACTCGTACGCCATGTATATAAAATATTATTTATTATTATTACAACAAAAACACATCGCCGTGTGTCTCTATACCGATTTTAATTAACCGACTTTTTTTGTAAATGAATCCGTCGTCGTCGTCGTCGGACGTGCCGTTGGACAGATGACGTCGAGGTGTCTTTTTTGGTTTGTTAGGGGTAATTATTTTATTGCCATGGCGAAATTAATTATTTAGCGTCTTTGGTGGTATGGTAAGTGGATATATTAGTAGGTGTAAGTGGCATTGTGCCTTGAGGCAAGTTGCATGAACTATAATAATAAACTAGTGGTGCATGGCTTCGTGCATTGAGGCAAATTTCTGAAACTTGCCGTACCGTAATGAGGAATATTGAGTAGAGAGCTTGCTTCAAAAGCTTTAACAAGTCGCCTTTTTTGAAGAATTTTAAGGAAGGAAATAAATGTTTAATTAAAACGAAACTTTCAGGTTTTATTATTACATATTTCAACATTCTTCTCAATTTTTTCGTTAAAATATATGTCATAATATGCCGGGTACAAGCATTTTGCCGATGCGCCACGAGCGTGCAAGTGTCTTTGTGGCGAGAAAGATGCAAGTTCACAATTTCCATCAAAAAAATACAGAAATTTTTTGCAACTTGAAAAAATCATGTTTTTTTCAAAATTTTACTTTAGATTGTTTATAAAGTGGGTTAATTATAACATTTTTTAAGTTTTTTTAGTTCAACTAGAATAAAATTTATTCCTGAATACTGTGAATTTTGTCTCGATACGTTACGTTATTTGATCGAATGTTTTTCAACCATTCAAATCCATATTGTATCCATACATACATACACACACATCCATTTTTTCTGAGGTATGCCAAATGTTCAGAAACCTTCAAAACGTCGAAAAATGCAAAAATTTTCATTTTAAGTTAAAAAAAAACAACTGACAGTTTAACAAATTGACAATTATTACTTGTGCATTCTTAAATAAAAATATTTTGAAATTATTTAATTAGTACTCACAATGGCATCGTTAATTAAAGATTTAATAATGAGTCCTATTGAACCAATGAAAAATCTTATAAAAATCATCAAATTAATGGAGGCATTCGTAAAAGCATTTATACATTGTACAGGTGAGAATGTAACTTATTGATGTTATAAATTAATCTAAAATCAAAAAATTATTGACAAACAGAATGGATAGTCTTAAATTCGGCAAATATGTTGGTAGGGATCGATATGGAAATAAATATTATGAAAATCCAAGATATTTCTTTCCAACAAATAGATGGGTTGTGTATGCTGAACATCATGGTCTAAACTATGATGCATCTCAGGTAAATAAAAAAAATATAAATAATATTTAGAATCATACTACACTTTCATAATAGCATATGCTCCTTCTTTTTTCAAATAGTTGTAAAGGTCTCATGAAAAGCTTTATAGGTTGTTGGGTTTAGATTTCAACCTTTGGAACTTTGGACTGTAAAAATACTGATTTGTTTATATATATATGATATTTTTAGCAAGTTTTTATTACAATTAATGCTCAAAGGCTAAAATAAGCTCGATTCAGGGTAGCTACTTTCCGGTACCGTCATGAAGATAGCTGTATTCATGGCCAATATAATAATACAAAAATACGCTTGAAGATAGTTATGAAAAACATAAAAATTACAAATATTTTTTAGGGTTCTCCCGAGTGGCAAGGCTGGTTACATCATCGTACAGCAAATCCACCAGAATCCGATAATTTACCCCATTGTTATTCGTTAGAACATAACGAAAATAAAACAGGAACCAGAGACCAGTATTATCCATATTCTACAACCAGGCCTAAGATTTTGATATGGACTCCTCCTAAACCTGTTGAACCTAAATGCAAAAAGAATGTATAAACGATTATTAAAATATCTCAACTTGAAAATTTATTGTATGAATTGCTTCGTAATACTAATAAGAATTACACTCGTTTTATTAAATGATAATTTAAATCAGTTAAACTTGTATGTATTTAGTCACAAATCGAAATACTTATAGATGTTATGGCAAGGCCATGTTACGCTTCAACTTGCATACATTATACCAATGCATCATACTGAATACCGTCAAAATGTCATGTATTTGCTGTGGATTCAGGCGTTTCACACATAAACTGCAACGTCACTTTTATGTTATGGAGCTGAGTCAGAAAGACTCTGTTATCTAAGTTGTTTTTTTGACGTTGTGCGGTTTCTAAGTTATATTTTCTACCGACACCTGAGAAATATGCCTGAATGCACACCAACGACATGGCTTTTGTCAATATTTATATGAAAAGTTCTTCATAACATGGCTTTGCCATAACATTTTTCTATTATGCGGCAGAATCGGTTCTTAGTCTATTATTTACACATACACCGGGAAGTTTATGCGAATTTGCCTTAAGGTTAAATATCTAGATAAGTACTATTTTTTTGATAATATCAATAAACTAGTAGTGCATGGTATCGTGTCATAAGGCAGATTGCTGGAACTTCTTTGAACTTAACAATTTTGTAGGAATTTGATTTTTTTTATATTCTGATTTTTTTTGATAAATTTTAACTTTTTTAAAAGCAATAACGTTGCATAAGACTAATTGTTTTTCAGAGTAGAAATATCGAAGCGCGTAAGCGCCGCGTCGTAGTCTACCGTGTAAACAATGGTACGGAACACATAGAAATGTACACAAAATTTGTACTTATCATTATAATCTTTATAAAATATCTGATAATTTGATGTGCATATGTCTAATGATCATTTTTGACCATCAAATGGCATTTTTTTTACTTTTTAGTACTAGATCTCCGAAACCGCTGGACCTGCCTTTCCAAAAATTTAATCATTTCTTCATCGTGTCAATATACAAGACCAATATTTTTTGAATTATTAAAATCGGACGCTCCGTTATCTCAAAAACTGAAGTACAATTCTTGGCATTTTTTGCCCTGTATCTCCGAAACGGTTAGACCTGCCTTTGCCAAAAACTAATCAACACGTCTCCTTATCAATACGAATCGAATAATTTTTTAATCATTCAAATCGGTTGAACCGATTTTCAAATCGATTCAAATCGATTCAAATCGATTTTGTTCCCAAAATCGTCGACGACAATTTGTATCCGTACACACACACACACACATATATCCATTTGTTCTAAGGTATGCCAAATTGTTCAGAAACCTTCGAAAGATATATAAAAAATTTCATTTTCGATTCTTTGCGATTACTATCAGAAACGTAAAGATATATAAAAAAAATCATTATCGTTTTTTTGCAATTTCTACAACTTACCCTACAGGAAGTTAATAAAAAATAATCGATTTTCAGAAAATGCAAACTGTGTATATAACCCCTTAAGTGTGTATTTAGTTATTTACATGTATCTGAAAAATCATGCAACTTGCTTTGGCAATATGCCTTATAAGGAGTCTAATAATTAATTGTTATTAATTATATTTAAATACACAAACGATTATTTTAAATACATAATTCAAGATTCGTATTTCAAAATTTGTATTATTTGTTGGCAGTGCTCTGAACTTGTTCCTTGTTGACAGCTTCGTTTATTTTTTACGTTGGTACATGTATTCATACGTGTGTCGACTTTTATATTTTGTCATATGTCAAGATGAATTTTTCGATTCAAAAATAATTATAAAATATTAAAAAGATTCATAACAAAGTATAACAAAACATGTTCTTATTGAAATACAATTTTTGTTAATAATTATATAACAATGCATGTATCTTAGTAAACAATTAGTTCGATATAGCATATGTTTTTAGCATAATTTACATTTGATTTAAAGTTGTGCTATGACAAAATTCATATATTTAGTAAAAGAAATAATTTGACATATTATATTTAATTATTAAGTATATAGTTGTATATATATATAGTTTATCAAAATGGTGTTAGCAGATTTAGGACGCAAGATAACCTCTGCGTTACAGTCGCTGAGTAAAGCTACTGTAATTAATGAAGAGGTTTTAAATTCTATGTTAAAAGACATCTGTGCTGCCTTACTAGAAGCCGATGTCAACATTCGTTTAGTCAAAAAATTAAGAGAGAATGTACGATCTGTCATCGACTTTGAAGAAATGGCTGGAGGCCTCAACAAGAGACGTATGATCCAGTCAGCAGTGTTCAAAGAACTTGTCAAACTTGTAGACCCCGGAGTAAAACCCTTCCAACCTGTTAAAGGCAGACCGAACGTCATCATGTTTGTAGGTTTACAAGGTTCAGGTAAAACAACGACATGTACAAAACTTGCTTACCATTATTTAAAAAAGAACTGGAAATCTTGCCTGGTCTGCGCTGATACCTTCCGTGCCGGTGCTTACGATCAGGTTAAACAAAATTGTACAAAAGCTAGAATTCCTTTCTACGGTAGCTACACAGAAGTTGATCCTGTAGTTATTGCCCAAGATGGTGTAGATATGTTTAAGAAAGAAGGCTTTGAATTTATTATTGTTGATACCAGTGGTAGACATAAGCAAGAAGAATCTTTGTTCGAGGAAATGTTAGCAGTTTCAAATGCTATACGTCCTGATAATATTATTTTCGTCATGGACGCTACTATTGGACAGGCTTGTGAAGGACAAGCAAAGGCTTTTAAAGAAAAAGTAGACATTGGTTCAGTTATTATCACAAAATTGGACGGTCATGCTAAAGGTGGAGGTGCCTTATCAGCTGTAGCAGCCACAAATAGTCCTATTATCTTTATAGGTACAGGAGAACACATAGACGACTTAGAACCTTTTAAAACAAAGCCTTTCGTAAGCAAGTTGTTGGGTATGGGTGATATAGAAGGTTTGATCGATAAAGTTAATGAATTGAAATTGGATGATAATGAAGAATTATTAGAGAAAATAAAACACGGGCAGTTTACAATGCGTGATATGTATGAACAGTTTCAGAATATTATGAAAATGGGACCGTTTTCACAAATTATGGGAATGATTCCTGGATTTTCACAAGACTTCATATCTAAGGTACATATAAAATAGAAATAAAAAATATTTCAATATTTGTTAACTTCCCATAGGGCAAGTTATAGTAATCGCAAAAAAATCGAAAATGAAAAATTTTTGCATTTCTCAACGTTTCAAAGGTTTCTGAATATTTTGGCATACCTTACAAAAAATGGATGTGTGTGTGTATATGTTCGTGTGTGTATGTATGTGCGGATACAAATTTTCGTCGATGAGTTCGGGAACACCGATCAACCGATTTGAATAATTCAAAGAACATTCGATTCGTATTGATAAGGAGACGTGCTGATTAGTTTTTGGCGAAGGCAGGTCTAGCCGTTCCGAAGATACGGGGCAAAAAGTGCCGAAAACGGTAACTCAGTTTTTAAGAGAACGGAGCGTCCGATTTTAATAATTCAAAAAACATTTTACTTGTATTGACAAGGTGAAGAACCGATCAAATTTTCATAAAGGCAGGTTTAGCGGTTTCGGAGATCTAATGAAAAAATTAAAAAAAAAATGCCATTTGGCGGTCAAAAATGACCATTAGACATATGCACATCAAATTATCAGATATTTTATAGAGATTTTAACAATAAGTATAAATTTTGTTTGCATTCCTATGGGTTCCGTACCAATGTTTATTCGTTAGACGGCGACGCGGCGCTTAGGCGCTTCGACATTTCGTCTCTATGCACTTTAAAGCAGTACGATTGCTTTGTAAAATAGTTCAAATTTTCCAAAATATGTCAAAATAAAGAAAACATTTTTTTTTCAAAAATTTTTTTTTCAAAAAAAGTAATTTTTTGTCAAATTCCTAGTTTCTCAAAAATCTAATTTTTTCGAAGTCAATATTTTTCAAAAATGTTAATCGTTTTTAAAAAAATAATAATATTTGGTACGGGAAGTTCCAGCAATTTGCCTTAAAGCACGATGCCATACACCACTAGTTTAAAATCGATTCGGTAGTTTGAGCTTAAATGTGGACGAAAAGTTTAACACTTTGTTTCAAATTACAAAGAAACGGTTTGGCAGATCGTTTCACAAAACTGACAAACGATAGTCCTCATTGAGATACATCAAATGGCTTTTAAATTTCTGAAATCGGTTCAGGCGTTTTTGAGAAAACGTCGATGAAAGTTCTAATTTCGACAAATGCCAAAAATACCATATTAATTTTTGCAAACTTTGACGAATTTTTAAAGCTAAACGAGTTGTCGTAGGGCCGTAATATTTTAGTATGATCTAGAAGACCATGGTAAATATCGTCAAAAAAAAATCATAAAAATCGTCGAATTTTTTTTTAAAAAAACTTTATTGCAAGAAAACGGCCCGGCCGATCTCTACCAAAAACTAATCAGGTCGATTCCCAACCAATATCTTTCGAACGATTTTTGAATTTTCATAATCGATTCAGAATTGCGGGCTAAAACGTGGACGAAAATTTTTTCACTTTTTTGCAATTTACAAAGAAACGGCCCGGCCGATCGTCGCACAAAACTCAGAAACACTAGTCCTTAACGAGATACTTCGATCGGCTTTTGAATTTTTTCCCTTAAATTTGGTCCCATTCGATTCAGAATGGATTGAAACGTCGAGAAAACATAAAATTAGCGAATCGGATTTTTTGATGAAAACAAACTTCTCCTTCTAGTCCAGTCATTTGGTGCAAAAAAAGGCTGTTGCCGGTACAGTACTCCGGGAATTCTGAAAATTGGTAATTTAATAGATTTCGAGGTGCTCTTTACGAAAATCAACTTTGCCACCTCAAATTTGAACGGCAAGTTGCCGCCATATTGGAAAAATGGCGTCAAAAAACAGCTTTTTTAAAATATCTCCTTTCTGGCTGATTCTGCGATAAAAGTATCTATGTACGAATTAAACTAGAGAAAATTTCCTACAATTCTTTAGAAATTCGTTTTTTTGTAAAATTGATAGTTTGAGAGTACGGCCGCCTCAAAATCTTTGCTGCTCTCGCCGTAGTAACCAATCTCTCCATATATGACAGCACTTTGAACTTGACCACATTAATAAATAAATATTTTCAATGTTAAATTAAGCGAATAAGATCTAGACATAAAAGAATTCAAATATTTTTCTGTTTTTTTTTTGCTGATTTTTTAACACTTCAATGGCAAAGTAGCTATAAGTAAGTAGCTTGAAGTGTTAAAAAATCAGCAAAAAAACAGAAAAATATTTGAATTATTTTATTGCTAGATCTTATTCGCTTAATTTAGCATTGAAAATATTTATTTATTAGAAAGAATATGGTCAAGTTCAAAGTGCTGTCATATATGGAGAGATTTGATACTACGGCGAGAGCAGCAAAGACTTTGAGGCGGCCGTACTCTCAAACTATCAATTTTAGAAAAAAACGGTTTTCTAAAGAATTGTAGGAAATTTTATCTAGTTTAATTCGTACATAGATACTTTTATCGTAGAATAAGCCAGAAAGGAGGTATATTAAAAAAGTTGTTTTTTGACGCCATTTTTCCAATATGGCGGCAACTTGCCGTTCAAATTTGAGGTGGCAAAGTTGATTTTCGTAAAAGAGCACCTCGAAATCTATAAGATTATCAATCTTCAGAATTTCCGGAGTACTGTACCGGCAAAACGACGAAATGACTGGACTATTCGGGAAGTTAATAAATATTTTTATATTTGTTAATGTTAATATTTACAATTTTCAATTACATTAGGGAAGCGAGCAGGAATCAATGGCCCGTCTCAAAAAATTCATGACAATGATGGACAGTATGAATGATGGTGAGCTGGACAATCGAGATGGTGCCAAATTATTCACAAAACAAAACGGTCGTGTTGTAAGAGTCGCCCAGGGCTCCGGTGTCACCGAACGAGAAGTAAAAGAACTCATTACACAATACACAAAGTTTGCTGCTGTAGTTAAAAAATTGGGAGGCGTAAAAGGTCTCTTCAAAGGCGGAGATATGGCCAAGAATGTCAACCCCACACAAATGGCCAAATTGAATCAACAAATGGCCAAAATGATGGACCCGAGGGTTCTGCACCAGCTGGGAGGCACGAGCGGGTTACAAAATATGATGAGGCAGCTGCAGCAAGGTGCTGCCGGAGGTCTGGGAGGCTTAGGAAACCTCATGGGTGGATTTGGTGGAAAACAATAGAGAGTAATGTAATATAATTTGTTAAATTGATGTCATATGCAAAGGAAATTAAATACATACACATGATAAATACAATTAAGAATATAATAAGATTTAAGTCAAGGTTTTTTATAAATAACTTCCAAGTATTTATTATTTGTGTGTGATCAAAATTATGGAAAAATCTTACTTTGCAAATATTATATAAGAGTTGTAATTTACTTTGTTCAATAAAAGTTTTATATCAAGGACAAAAAATCGAAAATGACAATTTTTACATATCTTTACATTTCAAAGGTTTCTGAACATTTTGGCATACCTTAGAAAAACTGGATGTATGTGTGTGTGTGTGTGTGTTTTTTTGGATACAAATTTTCGTCGACGATTTCGAGAGCACGGATCAACCGATTTGAGTAATTCAAAAAACATTTGATTGTTATTGATGTGGATTATAATCATATACAAATTTAATTTGAACTGAAATCGTTTCTGAATACAATTTACGTATTTAAAATGTATGTATAAATATCATGTTAAGGAATAATTTATCATTTTATTACTAAAAATTTAAATTAAATATTTATACACCAACGTTTGATTTATCTGAACCGAAAAGCCTCCGTTTATTTCTCAAAGAATCATTTGTATTTATTTTTTATCTTCAATTTTTCAAAAACTTTAAAGAGAACAAAATTATTTACATTTGTACATTTTTTTTTCTCAATTAATTGAAAGAATTCAATTTACTCTTGAAAGATTAAAATTAATATTTTTATTATTGTTTTATTTTAATTTTTTCTGTTTTTTTATTTTGAAACTTTATCAAATTCTTGAATTCAAATTCAAGTACAAGAACATATTTTTACTGGCAAAAAAGAATTCATTATCTTACTAATTTTTTTCTCGCAATTCTTGATTAGTTTTTGGCAAAGGCAGGTCCAGCCGTTTTGGAGATATGGAGCACAATATACAAAAAATGGCAATTCGGTTTTTGAGAGAACGGAGCATCTGATTGGAATGATTCAAAAAGCATTTTATTCGCATTAACATATTGAAGGACTGATTGCATTATTGAAAAGACAGGTTCAGCTGTTTTGGAAATGCTGAAAAAAAAGTAAATCAGTGGCGCTGCTTATCGGTGTTGCAATTTGGTACTATGCATTAATCGGACGTTCCTTTTCTTGGTAACCAGATGTCACTTGCAGCGTTTAATATCAAGGACAAAAATACGAAAAGGAAATTTTTTGGCGTATTTAGAGAAAAATCGATGCATGTGAGAATGTGCGTATGTATGGATACAGTTTTACGTCCACGATTTCGGGAGCACGGATCAACCGATTTAAATAATTCAAAAAGCATTCGATTCCTATTGACGAGGAGACGCGCTGATTATTTTTTGACACAGGCAGGTACAGCTGTTTAGGAGATACGGAACAGAAAGTGCAAAAAATGAAAAATTCGGTTTTTGAGAGAACGGAGCATCCGATTAGAATGATTCAAAAAGCAATTTGCTGGTATTGATGGAACGAAGGACTGATTACATTTTTGAAAAGGCAGGTCCAGCAGTTTCAGAGATGCAGAAATAAGTTAATCATTACAATTATTTTCATATTATATTCATTTTTTTGATACTGCCCTTAATTATTATTTTCCAGATTTGGCACTTAAATGAAATTTGCATAACCGATATTTAAATGATTTTTTTACCATCAGAAGAATCTTGAGGTCTACAAGCCTTAAATAATCTATCTCAATATTATAACATTTTTTCTTCAAATCTTTGTATTAAATAATACTAATGTTAGATTTAATATTGTTTTAGAGTTCTATTTTACTGTAATTAATTCAATCATTGGCGCTGCGTATCGGTGTTGCAATTTGGAACTATACATTTGTTTCCTTTTTCCTGGTAATCAAATTTCACTTGCAACGGAAGTCACCTGGTTATCTGTTTCATTTGATTTGAAGATAGCAACAGACATTGAATTTGAATTAAAAGTCTCGTTTTTTGAATGAACATTCACATATGAAGATTTTGGACGAAAATTATCATTATGATAAAATATTTATTTGGAGTTGAATTTATATGACGCACTTAAAAGACAATTTAATAATAAATATGCTTAATTTTAACATTTTTAATTCATTTTCAAATTTATTTTCAACTAGTTCCATCTGTGTGGTGCATGTTGGTAACAGTCACATGTTTCCATCTTGTCACTCTTGTCAGCAGCTTCATGGTATTTATAGCAAAAAAATTCGACTAGTTTTGCATTATTTGTTTATTTTATTAAAATAGTTTATTAGTATCCTCACGATGTACCCATTATTATTTTTAGATAAAGCAATTAATTAAGGTACTCACAGTTCAAATAATACATCATCAATTCTTTTTTGTACCGTTTAATAACTAACCATATTTATCCTATTTGACAGATTTTTCAATTTGTGTCAAATCCACTCGTCCCAGTTCTCAAGCCATAAAAAATAATGAACCACACATTCAAAATAATGGAATTACTTTTAGTTTAGTTTATGTCAATTCTGAATAGAAAGTTATCACAATGAAAGTACAGTGTGCCATATCAGTGTATTTGATGATTCATACAAGAATAAGAAAAATGAGTTGGTTGAGGTCCAGCCCTTTGAGGAACAGCTTTTCTCGACAAGGATCTGTGAGGGCTTTGGATTCGAATACAAATGTGACCCTAAGGCTTGTTATGATAGCTTTTGCAAACATTGGCAACAGGCTTATGATTTTTATACAAAAATCACAGGTTAGAGTTGTAAAGTTATTTTAAACTGGTGTAAAATGATATACTGAGAGAAAATGATAATTGGGAAAAAATGCTTGAAAACTTTTGTTTAGCCGAATTCAAATTTGAGAATATCATTAATGATGAACATATTTTGTTCACAATAATTTTTTCATCATTTTATTTTTAAATTTATTGTGGATTCTGAATTTTGATTTATAAAAGTAATCAGATTATGATATTTTAATCCTTACGTACTATGAATGCTATAGCATCCACGCAAGTATTATTTTAAATGAATTCATTTATAGAGAAATAATAAGATAATACAAAAATACCCAAAGAATCAGTTATTCGTTACCTTGTCAGGTAAAATAATTACAAAAATTTGAGGTTATATAAAATTAAGTTCAAATTTTATCTTTTATAACTTTAAAATTTGAATGCTATAGCATTCATATCATTCTGCATCACAATGAAAATGAACGCTATAGAAATATAAAAAAACAAAAATTCAATTCAATTTAATTATTATACTTTTGTATAATACAAATATTTAATCCATAAAATGAGATCAAATGTACAAACTAGGACATTCGAAAGGTTTTTTATTTTTATTTATTTATATATATATACATTATTTTCATATCTCAGTCAGACAGAAGTGTCTGGTATGAGAGATTATGAAAAACCATTTTCATATTTTATATATACATTTTATTTGATTATTTCATTAATATAATATCTATTATAATTAAAATATCTTTATTTATAACTCTTCAGTCTTATTTGTGTTCAATTTCCTTATAGTACATCTTTATTTTTTTTTTAACTTCCCGAAGGAGAAGTTTATGTTTTCATCAAAAAATCCGATTCGCTAATTTTATGTTTCTCGACGTTTCAAGCCATTCTGAATCGAATGAGACCAAATTGGAAAAGTATGTGTGTGTGTGTGTGTGTGTGTGTGTGTGTGTGTGTGTGTGTGTGTGTGTGCGTGTGCACCAACAGATTTTTTGCCGTAAATCGCCGTTTTCTCAAAAACGGCTGGACCGATTTCAAAAATTTAAAAGCCATTCGATGTATCTCGATGAGGACTATTGTTTGTCAGTTTGGTGCGACGATCGGCCCAAACCGTTTCTTCGTAAATAGCAGAGAAGTGAAAACTCTTTCGTCCACGTTTTAGCCGCAGTTATGAATCGATTTGAAAATTTAAAAACCGTTCGAAGATATTGGTTGGGAATCGTGCTGATTAGTTTTTGGTAGAGATCGGCCGGGCCGTTTTCTTGGAATAAGTTTTTAAAAAAAAAATTTCGACGATTCATGATTATTTTTTTGACGATAGATACCACAGTCTTCTAGATCATACTAAAAAATTACGGCCCTACGACCAACTGGTTCAGCTTTAAAAAATTCGTCAAAGTTTTGCAAAAATCAGTATGTGTCTTTTTGGCATTTGTCAAAATTAGACTTTTGATCGACGTTTTCTCAAAAACGCCTGAACCGATTTTAGAAATTTAAAAGCCATTTGATGTATTTCGGTGAGGACTATCGTTTGTCAGTTTTTGTGCAACGATCTGCCAAGCCGTTCTTTGTAATTGAAAAAAAGTGTTGACTTTTCGTCCACATTTGAGCTTATCCTACCGAACCGATTTTGAAAAATCAAAAACCTGTTCGAAAGATATCATTAGGGAATGATGCTGATTAATTTTAGGTGAAAATCTACCGACCGTTTTCTTGTAATTAAATGTTAAAAAAAGTGTTAAATTTTCGTCCACATTTAAGCTCATTCTACCGAACCGATTTTGAAAAAATCAAAAACTGTTCGAAAGATATCATAGGGAATGATGCTGATTAATTTGAGGTGTGAAAATCTCCCGAGCCGTTTTCTTGTAATTAACTGTTGAAAAAAAGTGTTAAATTTTCGTCCACATTTAAGCTTATCTACCGAACCGATTTGAAAAATCAAAAACTGTTCGAAAGATATCATTAGGAATGATGCTGATTAATTTTAGGTGAAAATCTACCGAGCCGTTTTCTTGCAAT